GAAGGAAGATCACTACTAGGTCAAAGCTTTTACATAAACCTCCGATTCCGTTTTCGACTTGAGTTGCCTAAATGCTGAGAATTCTGTGCTGCCTTCACAGCCCCAAAGCATCTTAGGAACATTAGCTGATCCTCAGCAATGCCCCTGTAACACAACCCGTTCACATTACCCTCATTTTAGAGGAAATACCTAGAACAGAGGGGTACAGGGACACGCTTAAATCCTTCCTCGGCCAGTGGCTGAGGTGGCGTTGATTCACTCTGCAATTCCTTTCCATCCAAATAATGTTCCCGGTGAYGGCAAGCCTGGAGAAAGGCATATCCAATGTACAAAAGGAAACTACCACCGAGACTTTCAGAGCTGGAAGGGGTTCAGCTGGCATCTCCTCTCCATCGTCATACAGACACTCAATGCTAAAAAAAAAAGATATGGGGAAATATACTTTCTAATTCAAACAGCGGAAGGAATATCAGCAAACAGAACACACTTATTCCAATAATATTCCTCTCGGATTAAATTGTTCGACTTCCAACGTCAAAGCACTGGAGAGACTTGAAAACAGTGGAAAGCTGCGTGTTACTTGAAGATAAACCAACTCAGTGGTGTATCACAGCAGAACGCTGCGCCGCTTGTGATGCTCATGCAAAGCAAACGCAGGGACACTCTCACGAAAGAGGAGCCATCAATCTGTGACATAAAAGGACTTGAGAGCACAAGAGGGACACTCTTCAGCTCCATTTGTCCTACTGCCAATTGGAACATTCAGCATGGAACCCTAAGTGTTTGCTTTTTAAAGAGAACTTGTGGCTTCTCCTTTGAATTCATATAAAAATCCTGAGCTCCATGTGTGATTACTACGCCAACTATTTTTATTCTAAAAATGCTGAAGGAGTAGTCATGCAGAAAGCACTCACAAAGGACAGGGGATTTCAATTACCCACAACTTCCTCCACTCCCTGCTTTACTTGAATCATCCTTGAATGYAGAAAGCACAGAGATAGCTGAATAATACCATGCATCCTTGCAAGGAAATTTCTTCGGGCATGCTTGAAGTGCCAAGCCTTGTCATGTGTTTCCAGAACGGAGCACAGCTCTGTCCCTTCGGATGCTGCAAACAGGATGCTGCGCAGGCAGAATAGTCCTGTGTGCTTAAGCAGGATGCTGTATCCGAGGAGCTCAAAAGCATCTCACAGGTGATTTTCACAGCATTCCTGCATGGATAGTGTCATTCAGCTCTCTTTTAAAGAGGAGCAAGAAGAGTCTAAATTACAACTCTGGAAATAGAGGGTATGAACTCTTCATAGTTTCCTAACTCAAGAGCGTAACCACTATATAAAAATTCAAAAACATGATGAGTAGCAATCTAAAGAGGTTCTCTGGAAGACCCAATATACTTCATATAAAGACCCTGAGAACTCCTTGCAAGATAAATACCAAGCAATGAAGAAATGAGAAAATATTATATGTCTCTGTGAAACAAATTTTACCTTCTCCGGAGTAAATTTAAGAGTGCAAACACAGAGCAGTGGGTTTGCTGGGACATTAAAAAGGAGGATCAGCAATCATACGTGGGTAGGAAAGAGCGGCCTGCAATASAACCTGATGTCTCCAGGCTGTGCTGGGCTCTGTTTTTCCTCCTCCCGTTTCGGAGCCGAGGCTCAGCCGCAGCCTGSGCTCACTCTGCACCATCCCGAACCTGTCTCGGCGCCGTCTGCAGTTGCCTGTTCCAGGTGTACACAGGGAAGGACTCCAAGTGCAACATGAAACTGAGAGCATTTCTTCACATGGCTGCAATGGGCTGCAAGGATTACTAAAAATTAGAGACTCATCTAATGAGCACAGAAAAGGCATATGGGCTGTAGAAATCTGAGAGGTCAGTTACACACCAGCCTCTTGTTGGAGAAGAAGAGACCACTTTGGATTAAGAGGATGTTGCTACAATCCTACGTAGTGCAAAATCAAATAGATTCCAGCCTAACAGCAAAACTCAACTCTCATACAGCCCTTGCAAGGTGAAATGATTAAGGTTGCTCTTTGAAATCGGGAACACACATAATCCATTTAAGCAAAGCCAAGGAGATTGGCAACACTTTGGAGCACCCCTTGCTGAACAGAGGACACAAGGTGTGAAGGTCACCACAGAACCGAAGTGGCCCRGGATGCAGAACAGGAGAGAAACTTGTTTGCACCCCAAAGGGCATCACAAGAGTCCTAGTGACATGCCAGATGCCAGGGGATTTTCAACCGTGCCCCTCTCTAATTGAGGATGAAGCACACACCAACACCGTTATGTGGCCTGAAGATACTGGCGCACAAAATACGGAGCAAACAATAGGAACAGATGCTCATTTGGCCAGATTTCAATGAGCCTCATTAAAACCAAACACCCTGTCCTTGGAGCTCAGGTTCATGCTACGTTTCTACCTTATTTAAGCGCACAGCACCGACGGCTGAGAAAGCCATCCACTGGTGGTTGCACACCAGTGGCATCATGCAAGAAACCCTCTCTCAGGCATTTCGCGGTTTGCAAAGGGACAAGAAGCAGGATTTTACATGTGTGTGTAAAAAAAAATAGAAAATACACTTGCTTTTTAAAAACATTATGCTGAACAAGCTTCACACTTGTTGAACACTCAAAAGCAATAGGTGAAAAAACACCAAAATACTGATGAAAAGACTGCCAAGAATTAAAGAGAAACAATGCTACTAATGATACAGGTGACGTGCCAAAATATACAATCCCTCTCTGTCAAAATATAAGCACACTTAAAACTACTGCTACGGCAGCTTATTCAATTCACTGTACCCAAGTATGTCTGGGTTCTATATAGAGAGCTTCAAAGGACAAATAAATACCTGAAGAGCAGGGCTAAGAACAACATATAGATCCCTTAAAACTAGATATTCTCTGTCAAGTTTTCTGATTTTATTTTTAAATATCTGAATTAAACCACATAATCCATACGTTTGTGAAAGCCACTGAGCACCTGGCTGCAGACAGCGAGCACGACATCAAATATAAGACAGGGCAGGCAATATTTCCTAACTAACCCAGCCCTCCCTGAGCGGCCTGCAGGCAGCAGCCCTACGCTACATTCCTTGTTTGAAAATAGGCATAAATTTATTTTAAGCTTCTTTTTCTTCTCTTTTAGAAAGAATGCCAGTTATTAGGTGGGTAAGTTGCAGCTGAAGGTCTGTAGAGAAGCACTCATCCACAAGAAAGCTTGATGGATGGACAGTGGTTTAGTCTGTAAAAAGATATCTTAGCATGGATGCGTGTGGCCTCGAGGGAAACTGCATGTCATTTTTTGAACAAATTTGAGAAACACCTAGCACATGATCAGCAAATGGCATTAATATAGTTGTCAGCCCACGCAGTTTTCCTTCTTRCAAGTAGGTCCAGAATCAGGAATTCTGTTTGCAAAGAAAAACATTCTCTCTTGTAGACTGACTGGCATTTCTGACATGCTTGTGATAATGCTGACTCCCAGGCAGGGCTCAGACTGCACTGCACAACCAGGAAAGGTAAAGTGTGATTTCCCAAGCAATGCTTTTCATCTTTCTCTGCCAGTTTATATATTACATATATTTATACACACACACATACATATATATACGTGTGTATGTATTTATCTCCTATCCTAGAACACCTTTCGAAAAGTGCTGTATAGAATGCAAGCCACACTTACCCTTTCTAACTTCCACTCTCTTGACACAACATTTTAATGTTCAAGGCTATGAGACCCATCAATCACAGAGGATAAAACTCACCATGTGCAGAAGGCTAAGAGAAGGCCTCTGAACCCCTTAAATCCCACTTAAGCCTTTCACCAAGGGTACGTTTACCAGTTGTGCCATTTGCCTATGCCATCATGAAGCCACCTGTATCTAGCTAACTGGATTTATATGTGCTTCAACATTTTGGGAATTTGAAAGACATAAGCTTTCTCAGAATCTGTTTCACCTACCCGATACCATAAGGGGCCTTAAGGAAGCAATGGGCAATACCAGCAGTGTGGAGCTGGGAATACGGATGCTGGGATTGACTATCAGCACTTTGCACCAAGCTTGGCAGCTTCTCTTGGGAGCCCCTCTCCCTGAGAAGGTAACTTTGCCTGGCGAGGGCAGCCTGCAAGTCACCTGCAAGCACCAGGAAAACCTCCTACGCCGGCCACTTCACTGACGGAACATCCAATTTCACCAGCAAAATCACAGCAAAGATTTAGCCCGGGAAGCTATTGTAAAGGTATCCTAAGCAGGCCAYGAAGGGACAAGGGACATTTAACATTCGCGCCCCTTCCCAGCCTCCCCTTGGCATCAGCGTGACGCTGCCGTGGGCTGAGCGTGTCCCTGCACCAGCCTTTTTATCACGTCGCATCACGGCTGGAATGTTTTCCATTCGCAACCACCCATGCACCTTCTTTTACACTAGATACGCTGAGTTTTAAGAGCGGGGCTGCTGGCACCTCGATTCTCCATTCACATGGGTCTTATGGGTTGACAGAGCCATTTTATTCCCATTCCAACTGCCCTAGCTCCCTCTTTGGCTTCTCCTAAATATAGCACTCGCTTTATTTTAATTAAAAGGCCTTTCTTTGCAATTGCTTCTGCACATCCCCCTTGGTAGCTAAGAAAGGGAACCACGACAGAGTTCTCATGCAATGGTTTTACAATTGTCCAGACATTTACCATTTAAGGTTGCCACAGCTAATTACATGGCAGCAGTAGGTCACCCCATTGGAAAAGCCAATTGCACAGCAAATGAACTTCAATCTCAACAGCTCAACACTTTAAATAATCATTTCCAAGACGGGAAAACAGTAGTTTGCCAGCTCTGAAAGCACTACCATGATTAGAAATATCCAAAATATTTGCTTTCTGATTGAATATTTTTCGTAAGTGTAACTTCAAGAAGAGACTTTTTCTTTAAYAGTATCAGAGTGCTAAACCAAAACCAACCCAACATAAACCCTCAAGACCACGGCCATGCTGTTACTTACTTTGGCCACACAATTCTCAGTCTTCATAGCAGTGCTTCCTAGACATACTGTTTCCTGGTTTAAGCACAGTCTGGCACAGCTGTTGTAGGTCTGTAGGAAGATTAAAAAGGTTATGAATAGAAGAAGAAGAGAAATTTTATTTTAGGCACCCCATTTTTGGCACAAAGACCTGCAACGAGTCCATGAAGTCATTCTACTCCATTTCTGAACCACTTCCTTTTCTCCTAAGGTGTGAAAGTTTTGAGCCCACACAAACTATTCTATATGCAGAACCTGTGCTCCAGGCATGCATTTCCTCTGAGCAGCTATGTGGCTTTTTATACTTCAGGGATACAAAGATTAGAAAGGTTTATCTCCTCTTTTCCTTTTATCAGGTTAATCTTTATATTTGTCTTTATATACGRGGACAAAGGGATTTGACTGCACGAAGGTTACAAGCAGATGTGAACAAGTGCATGCCTGACCTCGCCTGCTCTAGTTCACTCTCCCACCTTTGGGAAGCTCATCCTTTCCCAGAAGAATGTCTTTAAGTCATGAGRACCTGCACTGGAGACTGTCAACCAGGTCCACAAACTTCAGGAGCCTCTACAAAAGGTGCCTCTCATACCACCTCCCTGCTCAGAGGCTAGTATATAAACAATACTGAGTTAAGCACGCTTGCAATTATACTTTAGTTTGTTTGGCTATTTAAACTAAGGTGCACAAAGAACTCAGGAGTTTCTAACGGAGGCTTTTCTCCCTTACTTTAAATATCTTGTTAATTATACTTTATTAAGCTCACATTTTACTAGTGGTAGGACAGTAGCAGCAAAGAGCTCCAGTGTTGGACTAAAATCCCACCGTGCTGGGCCTTGTACTGGCAGAAGACACTATTCCCTGCCCCAAAGGACTTGCAATCTTTGGGCTGACCAAGAGACAGATGGACAAGAGAGTGCAAGGGAAAAATACCAGTGTGGCATGCAGGAATCTTGATGCACCAGCTGCTCCCCCTGGCCAACTTCTTGGGAATGCTGCTGTAAAGCACTAGGCTGTAGCTGCTGATGGAAAACTGCTCCCAAGTTACTTCATTCAAAGAATAACAAGTGGAGCACCTAAAACATGTCAAGTGTGCTAAGAAGTGTGTGAAGAAACTAAGCAGCGTGTTGAAAAGACGAAATTAAGTGTTTGGAACTAATGTCTTGGACATTTCCAAGAAAACTAGAGCAAACATGCTAACGTTCATGATATTTTTAGGATCACTGTAAGTGATGAACACGCACAGATTTGTAGCGAAGTGCTTGTCTGCTCTCTTCTTGTAACATCTGCTGACAATCCTTCAAGATTCTCCTTTCAGACCACGCCTGGGATTTCTGCTTGTTTGATTCTAGCTGGATTCAATCCCCAACTTGCAGTGGGTGACAAAAGCCACGGGCAACGCTGACATGGTGAGGGCTCCTCCACCTCATCCTGCTCCATCAGGGCCAGGCTCCCTCCTGCACCACTCTCCGTGCCAAGCACCAGTCAAGCTCCTCTTCCTCCCTCTGCCACAGGCCCCACACTACATACAAGGTGCAGCCAGTAGCGAGACACGGGGCAGCAGAGAACACACTGCCCAGGTGTCCAAAAACCAAAAAAAAATCACACAGATTGCAAGGGGTCAGCAGTGAAAGGCAGGTCCAAGTATCCAGTGGTCCTAACCCTGTCTGCATGCTCAAGAGGACATAAYAGACACAAACTGGGTGATTAAAACCAGAGGAAGCATCACTCGCTGTTCATCCAGGTTCTTATGATTCTTCTTAACCACTCCGTGCTGCCCAGCATGGAAAACCGGAACGCTGCTGCAGGTGGGTCTATACTGGTCTGATACTGTCCAGTCACCCTTGTGGCAGTTTAGGAATTCACAGCCGTTTCCATCTACATTTCATTCCAACCACTCCTAAACCTCATCATGAAGCAAACAAAGACGGGCACAAAATCCCTATTTTCTTCACTACTTTATCACTTTGCATTTTACTTCGCACCAAGCGCTCCAAGCAGAAAAGAACCAGTGACAGACAGGAATGCGGAATATCCCGGCTCCAGCAGATCTCCTTACAGGACAGAACACTGATATCTGCTGCCACTAGCAGCCCACTAGCGATTTCTGACTCCAGATCCTGGAGAAACTGCAAAATTGAAGCCCATGAATCCTTTCAAAGCGCCCTGCAGACGCACAGAGTGCATCTTTCAGCAGGAGAGGTTTAGACTCAAACTGGGATTAGCCCCCAAGCAAACAGAAGTCTGCTGGAGTCAACTTAGCCCCTTGCAAATATTTGCCAGCACCATAAAACCATCACTCTGGTATGCAGAGCACTTTCTCCTCAGAAGAGAGATCAGAATAGCATAAACTACTATAAATTGTGGCTTAGATGGAGTGGCTCAAGTGGTGGACAGAAAGTTGACACCATCTGCYTTACACCAGCGTTCAGACAATGCCACGTGTTGTATTTTCTACAAGCATCACACTAGTCAAACCAAGTCTAGATTCTGGAGGTGAAAACCCATGAGCAGTTGGTAAGATTTTTTATTTGTTATTAAGCTTGTGTATATTTAACCCATCTGTTTTATGGTGAATCTGTGAYCTTTCATTTGCAATTTCATTCCTAAAATTCCAGTACTGGTATTTCCATAAAATTTATCTACTAGACTTTTGATTTTTGAAGAGAGGCCCTCAATCACAGACAGCTAATACTTACTCCACTTTATGTATGGATATCTCGGCCACCAAAGCTTATGCTGACAGGATCTTATGCACATGGAAGGCTGTTTAGCCTGAACAGCAGCAAGCGAATCTCCAGCAAAACAAAACAATTTGTACATCAAATCCCACAATGCAAGAACAAGAGACACTTGATGAAGCTACAGTTGAGGATAAGTTTAAAGCAGAAGAAACCTTGTCTTCACACAGGCAGCTGTGACCTTCTGGAGCTCCCTGCCACAGGATGCCATGGAGAGGGACAACACCAGCCAGCAGAAAAAGGGATGAGGCTACAGATTTGAGAGCCAACCACACAAAGAGGGATCAGCAGCTCGATATCCACTGCTGCGTTCTTATTTTCACATTTTCACTGAAGACTGAAGAAAGGCATCCACTTAGTGCAATGAGTAGAATGATAARTGCCAGAGAAGATGCATGTGGATGTTCTACAAGATGTTCAGGAAGGTCTCAAGCAGAAACTTGGAACCTATCCTAGTTCTCCTTAAAGTCCAGGGGAAAAAGGAGGTAATGTCAATGTACTTATTATTAAATGGAAAGGTACTGATAAGGATCCAAAGAGACTGCAGCTGGCTCATGAAATCACAGATCATGAGAAGCTGGGAGGATATTTTGTGGAATTATTACTACATGGTTGCCCCGTTTCAAAATTCCTCCACAGACAGCACTTACTGGTGCTCTCAGRCACAAGATCCTGGCATAGCCAGACATTTGGTTTCATGTGGTACTCTCATAGTTGTGTTCACACACCAGCAGTTACTTGCGAGTAGTATGAATGTTGTATCATCAATGAGTAACCCAGGGCCCCACATTTTATGTGAAACATTTGAAGGTGCCTCATGTTACCCTGCAGCATGAGAATATCTCCCTTCACAGGTTCAGATGCCCGTGGAATTGCTGACTAGCTGAGAAGAAAACCACGAATATCGAAACCAGAATCCAAGTCTCGGAAAAGCAAATCTCTCCCCTCACCTTTAAAGCTAACCCTTTTAAAGATCCATCTAGTTTGCACCAAAACTACTCAAGTTTTTCCTCACCTTCCCTCAAGATAAGAGGTTTCTTCGCCACGGGAAGGCACTCTGAAACGGGAGCCTGGTTCAACGCCGCAGGCAGCGAGCTTTGCGTTGGAGTGCTTTAATATGCTTTTATATTGCATATAAAGCATGCAAACATAAACCAGTTTGCTGAAAACTACCTTCTTTGTGGAAGCTGGCTGTAATTCTGAACAAGTTTTCAATTTTCGCATTGCTGCTAGGGTAAAACATTTTAAAGAGTTTAATTTTTACAGTGGCTCAATGACACAAGATTATCTAACAAAGTAATGGTTAATCAATAGAGGGTTTAGTTGTCAGGTGAAACATATAACACACTAAAAGGGATTGATTGCAAGGCTCCTCCTTATTTACTAGGAGGTATATATTTAAAATGACACAAACTTGTTACCAAGCTGCATTCCTTTAACCTTGCAAAAGCCGTTTGAGAACAGTGTTAAGCAGCCCTATAGCAAAACAAGCTCTAATGAAAAACAAAAAAATATCTACAAATATATGGCAGCCCCAAATCATGTCAGAAGCAGGGAAACCACAAAGCTGCATTCATTCTCAGCCGAAGGCTTAAAATGCCACAGAGACACTAGACTACAGTTCACTAAAGATAGAGCTGGAGCTGATCTCATTCCATTAGTGTCTTTGGTTACATTTTTCTAATGCTCCTCTGACTTGGTCTGATAGACCGACTTTATTTTTTTTTTTTTAATAAAGGATAATCCCAGTCTTTGACACAACCATTGCTGCTGTTGCCACGTAGCTTTGCACAAGCTTTGCACGTAGCTTTGCACAAATACAGAGCACCAGTCTGATGCCTCGAACCCGAAGCAAAACGGGGTTTGTGCAGCTTATTTTTTGCCAACGGAAATCCATTTCTTTGGCCATTTATCCGGAGAATCCCCAGGCCCTGAACAAAACTCCACTTTTTAATAGAAGCTGCAACCCAGGAGTTCAATAAGTTCCTCCCCCCACCATAGTTAATAATTACATGATTTATCAGAGAAAGATAACACTAATAAAAACACAGCAAAGAGACACAACCCATACCCTYCCTTCAAGTCATTTTCAGGGAAAAGATTATTAAATTGCTCTTTTTGAACAAGGGCTTTTGTAGCTAAGCACAAATTGCCAAACGGTTAGAAAAAAAAAGTTATTAGACTCAGAAGAATTCAGCAGAAGTGGGAAGTTATATAAACAAATCACTCGAGCAGGTTTGGAAAGCTCGCTTTCATCTTACTTAGAGTCTTAGGAGACTTGCATTAATTACCCTTTAAAGGTCTTTCACATGGACTATTTAAAATAAATGCAAT